CCTATGATCGAAAATCAGTAACCTACGAATATCTACTCTCAATGGCCATGTTTCACAGCCATGAGGTAAGACGGAGCGAAATACTGCGCAGTACACTCGTCCTTTAGTCAGCAAACGGATATCTCGCCTACGCCATAAGTGACGCAGGTTAGCAAAAGCCATTCGAGCCTTTGGTGAGCACAGAGTCTATGGGAAAGCTATAGTCATAACAAGATCAACTTTTGCTATAAACTTTATCTGTTTCTAAACATAAAATCAATTAGATTCATACAATAAACAAGGAAATTACAATTATCAAGTAAGACGACCGACCAATATAGTGTGTCTTATGGAAATGAGTAAAGTTATGAGTCACATCAATATAATAAGATAATAATGTCAATCAATTTGTAGGTCATTTACAACAAAGAATGTTTACAGACACGTCAGATCAGAACACGTGGTGGGCGCTTAAACCACAATTTGATTGGTTAGTTATGACATGACTACAATTAGTTAAAAAATAACTAACTCTCATTTCCTGATTATAGTATTGTTTACTTGACTGTCCTAGCATATTCAAGAATGCTTCGGGGATACCTGCGGTTGAAAACCATAGACCTACAAAACTCTCAACTCCTACTGGCCATGTTCAGCATCCATAAAGTAGGACGGAGCGAACTGCTGCGTAGTAGACTCGTTCTTTGGTAGGCAAACGATTTTCTCGTCTACGCGTTTTCTACGTCTACGTCTTCCTTTCTTATAGATTGGGACAATCAGTGATTGAGACCAGCTAGATAGGAGTGCCTCCAGCTCTACAACTCCACTTAACATCCTAGTCAGTCTTACTTCTTAAACTGGAACACCAGCCTCAAAATTCTCAGGCGTAAGCCTGTCAATGCATGATACTCGCTTCACATTTGTCATACCTTTTCAACTTCATTCAGATTAGGAGGACTTACATTGATTCGTCATTCAGGATGCCTGGAGATAGTGGGCTACGGATATTTGACTGAAGGCCATTTGGATCCTTAAAGTTTTCTACCCACTGATACAATCTCTTGGACTCAAAATGACTTAGAGTCTCATCTTTTTTTCGAGCTAGTCTCATTTATAATAGGTTCCCTAATACCAGTGTAGTGGAACTCTTCTACGAAGAAAATACGATTTGTGAAAAATAAACATCATTCTACTCGTTTTGTTTAACTGTACAAAAACACTTCTTCAACGTCTTGCGCGCAATGTTCTCTTCGCGTAGCTGCCATTCTTCCACATGTAATTCCTAATTTCTTCTTCAATAAAACATGAAACCATGGATTTATTTTGATATACGTGACGGATTAGTATGGAGCATTCAGTGGTGATCATAGTCAGTCTGGTATTCCTCACAAAACCAGTTTCCTTGATATGTCTAAAGTATTGTCTACTGGTACCTATCGCTGCTACCTTTTCCATCACTATTTTGCTACCCACCACTGTTCGCGATTGTTGAGTAGGCTTTCTGTCAGCCTACGCCTAAGCTGATTTTGCTCTTCGTCACTTTCATAGCTAAGTGGGATGAGTTTCATAGCATCTATAAGATCGGATGTCGTTCTTAACTGCCTCAGGATGGATCTACTAACATGGATGCCTAACCATTTTTCTAGTTGTTTCTAGCCATACTATCATTCAGTAGAACCGTAAGAGGTTTCTTTGTAGTGTCTTCCTAAGTCCAGTAAGCCACAAACAAATACCCACCCGCACTAAAAAATGGTCTGATTCTGAACAGGTGTTCCAGAATAAGCAGCAGTCTTCAGTGCAGCCTTTCCATCGAAGGCTGGTAGCTATGTGATCTAGCTGTGTCAATGTTGGGATGAATTTTGGGGTCATCATGTCAAAAGATGTTTTTCCTCATTCTAAAAGTTGATATTTTCCAGAAATAGGTTTATCTGAGCACAGATACTGCAGACGGTCGCCATTACCTGTTTGATCGACCTTGACACCATACGATCCACCTAGGTTTCTCTCCGTTCCACTGAGTCTACTTACTTGTGCGTTAAAGTCACCCGCCACTGTTACTACATCGGAGCGCCTAACTTCCCTGAGTAGAACCGAAAGATTTCTGTAAAACCCATCTTTCATCTCGCCTGAGCTACAGTCACTGGGAGCGTAACCAGAGACGACGAAGAGGCAGTGGCGTGTCCTTACTGTCCTGTTTAGTCGGACAGCGCATAAGCGACTGTCTAATGGGATCCAGTCTAAGACAGTTACTTTTGCTTTGGAGCTTCATGCTATACCTTCACCATCCAGGCCACGGGAAGCAGCATCAGGGCTTTCAGATACATGAAGTGTAAATCGAGTTGGTTCCTTACCTTGACAAGAAGAAGCCGAATGAATGATTCTATTCGGATCCTGTATGCATGACTTGGCGACACGGCATACATCGATGGTTCGAGATTCTGGAGTTCTAGTTAATGAAGCCTGTCGCTTAATTTGACACGAGGTTCGAACAATGAAATCTCGAACAAGTAGTTTAGAACGGGATTTCAGGAGATGGGGAATAAATTTTTGTGAACTCGAATCGTTTGCATTAGATGCGCGGGATGTTAATGGAATGAAAGAAGGGTTGATCGGGGAGAAAAGAGTTTTACTAAGAGGCTTAGTAATTATATATAGTGCACATAGATAATATAATTGTGGTTCTCTAGTAAATCTTAATCAATTAAATTTAAGCTTACAGTTAGTTAGTCGTAAAACAGCTCAAAGCGAAATGGTGGGTTCAAAATGTCTGTCAGAACCTTATTCCAATCCACATATATTTGTCTGGATATTTGCAGTAGACTTGGTTACCCTAGCCAAGAACATGTGAAATCATTAGCTGACGAATATCAACCAGACTTTTGTACATTTACCGCATCAATTCTTGTTATATGAAAACCTGTCTGTACCATAAATCATTTCTCAGCCCATAAGATGATTGTCGTAACGCAACCTTCGTAACTTGCGCCAATTAATCGCTTTGTACATTCCAACTTTAAGAAAACAATGAATCTTATGAAATGTTTCAGTAACTGTATACCGTTTTCAGAAAAAAATATGTTGCTAATCTTAACATTTTGATCTTGCCTGTAAATTGGCATGTCTCTTGTAACATGTTTGTTATTTGAGAATAAATTATTGTTATTATTATTATTATTATTATTATTATTATTATTAGTAGTAGTAGTAGTAGTGGTCTACTTGTCTTTTGTACAATTCCTTCGTTACTGTCTTCTATCGGGTTATTCTTTAGGATCCTTTCTATGTCTGTTAGGCTTGTGTGAAGAATTTCGTCAGCAATGCGTTGTCTATCTAGAATAACTGTTAGTATCTTTTTATCGTTTGAATGATTCTTCCCCATACCCCTCTTTTGTGTGAGGTTTACGGGCCAATGAATACCCAATCGCAACTGCGAGTTAAGACATCTTAATTCCAGGTGCTGATAAGTTCTCATAAGTTTCTCCGAGCCTTTCATTTCACTCCCGTTATTGCTACGCAATATTCGCAAACAGCATCTGCATGTCATAAATTAACTAAACTCAAATAGGAATGACTGTATTAAGTGTATTAAACACTTCTATATGCACTGCTCTGGAGTTGAAACAGACGAGTAAGCATCCGTATCTTCTTTTAACCAACCGTCTTCGTTAAACGTACATATTGTCCAAAAAAGTCTGTCCCTGTCACAGAAAATGGACTACAATTCGACAGGTAAAGCAATTTCTGAGAGCTGACTTGATTTCTTTAATGGCTGTGATAATCCACTAGTATTCCCTTATTATCAAAACTGTTTAGTTGAGCTCCAAGTATTGATTGGATTTACGGTGTTATCGAATGATTAGACAAGTTACGAAGTGATTAGCTGATGTTATAATCGACTGTCTCACTTGGAATGATAATTTAGCCCTTTTTAGATGTCTACAAACCCTCATTATCCCGTCTATCAATGTGAATCTCAAGTAGCCCAACGAAATGGTAAACTCACTTGGTAACTTCGTACCAATGCATTGATCTGTTCCTTTCTTATCAATTGCATCTGAACTAGTCTACTGATATCAGGTTCTGTGGTACTCAAGTTATTGATCTCCAGGTATTGTTTTTGGTTGATTGATTTATTCATTAAGAAATCTGTGTATTTATTGTGTAAGCCAAGTTACCACCGACCTCCTCAGTTTAACGGATGATTTTAATTTCTCGAAATGGTACATGCATATAAAGTTAGATTTTCCTTCAAGACTTGAATCTCGATCTATGTATTTATAACTATCTTTTGACTGGCGTTGAAACTAATGAATTTAAACAGACCACAACTGAACAATTAAATGTTTAAGTCGACGTTCATACACTGTTCAAATTGTTACTATAAGTAACTTGTTTAAATAGATAGATAGATAGAGCGCCATTTTCAAATTGATTTATTTTAATCGTTAATTTCAAAGTCTATATATATAGATATTTTAACTTTTATTTATTTGATTGATAAATGAAGACAATAAAATTTTCTGTGAAAAAAAATCTTCAAATCATCATAATAGTTATTTATCATAAATTTTTCAAAATTATTCAATTTAACGTTATGTTACACAAACTGTTAAGGCATAAAACCTGATTGAGTTTGTTAATCGGCAATTGTACTAATAATAATAATTATAGTATTAATAAAGATAATATTAATAATAGTAGTAATAATAACAATACTAATCATAACAATGATCATATTAATAATCTCTTGTTAACTATTATTTTTTGAGTATAATCATCTATACTACTGATATGCACTGTAAGTAGGATCTTCTACAAAGATGTAACTTCTTGGTTGAAAGAAAACTTATCAGAAATAATAATAAAATATAGGTTAATTACAAAGTTTTTTTTTTTGTTAAACAAACTTTCATCTATCCTGTTTAGGAAGGATTTCATATATTTGTTTAAAAATAATTACACAATCACACTTGAAATGTTGTTACATGATTAATTGTAGTGAATTTGTAATCGTAATAGTTCAATGATATTTATTATTGATGAGTGAATCATTCAACTAATATAAATATAAATGTAGTGTATATATATATATATAAATATTTATATGTAGGAATAAATAATTATGTGTGTATATTTTTTCTGAATTGAACTTTAATATTCATTTGATAAATGTACATGTGTTGTAGTAATCATAGGCTGTTGTTGTTGTTGTTGTTGTTGTTGCATGTTCAATCTATTCTGTTGATCAAAATATTTACTGGGATGATGAATATTGAACAAATCACTTGATTGAACAATATTGGGATTTGTTATATGTTGTTGTAGTTGTTTAGCTTGTAAATTAGTTTCTTCTGAACAAACAACAACTGTAGGACAATCGGTTGGAGATGATAAAGATTGTGTATTTTTCAGTAAAAATTTATCTGATTGATTAGAAGAACAATTATCTATTGTGGAATTGGTTGCATTATGCTAAATTGACGAAAAAAAAATTAAAATGTGTATATAATGTATTGATGATAATAGGTTGGTTGGTTGGTTAATTGATTGATTGACTGATTAAAACAAAATATTAATGATGATGTATGTTTATGCAAAAGCATATGTTTGGAAATAATGATATGATTTTTTTATTTTTATTGAAAGGATGAATCAAACACATTGTTTTAGATTACCTACCACTGGAGTCCTGGAAGTAGTTGACAGCTCTGTTTCATTCTGGTATGGAAGGAACTCTTCAGCAGTGGACATTTTTACGAGACCCGCTTGCAAGAATCAAACCAAAAACTTTCACTCTCGCACATGAATGCAGGCATTTAACTGCGTTAATGTCTGATAACTTTAATCGATCCAAGGTGTTGTTGCTCAAATTAACCACTTGTCTTCTTCGGTGGGTGACTTACTTACTTACTTACTTACGCCTGTTACCCCCAATCGAGCATAGGCCGCCAACCAGTTTTCTCCAACAAACTCTGTCTGTCCTGGGCTTCCCTCTCCAGTTCTGTCCAATGTTTGTTCATTCCTCTCATATCTTTCTCTATTTCTCGGCGTAATGTGTTCCTTGACCTTCCTCTTTTCCTTTTGCCTTGAGGGTTCCGTGTGAGGGCTTGTCTCGTGAAGCAGTTAGGTGCTTTTCGTAGTGTGTATCCTATCCACTTCCACCGCTTCTTCCTGATCGGTGGGTGACTGCCTACACTTAAAATCATGAATCAACAATCATTATAAGACCAAAATCATAAACCACCTGAAAGTATGGATCCCAGATTCCTCTACTAGGACGGAGTGGCCATCCGTCAGTGCTTCCAGGTTTCTAATGGTGTGATCTAACAATGATCTACTTTTTGATTGCAATTTCATAAACAACAGTTTTCATAACTCTCTAATGAGAAATCATATAATTTTAATGTAGATTGAGTTAATAAATGATTTTATTATGGATTACATGTTGTCCTCACCTGAGTGTTCGTGCACAACATTCGGTGTCGCTGCCAGGATGAAGATACCGTAGCCGAGGAAGTTCGAGGCCGTGGCGGAGCTAGCCGAATGGGAGCAGGAGAATACGGTGGCTTTAGAATTGCTGCTCCGCGGCCGAGCGAAGGCTGTGTATGACAGCCTGGATGGCAAGGTGAGGACATGGAAGGCGGTCACGGATCGGCTAGTCGCGAAGTTTGACAGCCCAGTGGATAGGCAGCAGGCACTTCAGAAGTTCAGGACTACTAATACTACTACTATTACTACTACTGGTGCTTTCATATACATTTCTTCCAATATATTTCCTTTTGATGTCAATTTTCACAACTTGAACTGGTACATTCTAGTTCAAAGTTTCAAAAAATAGTGATTTCCAGTATGGTTGAGATGCCTATCACAACTATCAGATCAATCGAGTCATTCATTCATTGCCAATCAGTCAACTTTATTTATCTTACATGCATTCCTTCACTATGATTGTGATGATTAGAATAAAATATTCACTGATAAATAGAAAAAGCAGAAAGTATACAAACTTACTTGATGTTTTATGACCTGCAAGTAAAAAAATGTCATTAAAAAGAGAAAAAAAATGATCTGGATAAAACTGGTCTAGTGAAGATGAATTTTTTTCATGTTTTTTAAATCTTTTTTTTATAGCAAATGAGAAAAAAGACTAATTTTTAAATGGATGCACCATTTTGCGATTTATTCTCCTTAAGTTCTGTTTGAAACCATGAATCGATCAATGTTAAACCACCATTAGAAACCTGGAAGAAGCACTGAACGGCCGTTTCGTCCTGGTATGGGACTCATCAGGGATAGTGTGCATCCACGACTCCTGCACCCCGCAGGATTAGAACCCAGGACCTTCGATATTGTAGGCGAACGCCTAACAATCGGACCACTGAGCCTGTATCTAACGGTGTCAATGTCTAACTTGATCAATTCACGGAGTTGCGCAACCTCATACACAGTCTTCGGTAGTTACTGTCTACACACGAACAGGTTGAACTTCACTGGTCACGTATTTCCACTGGAACTCGAAGAAGATTCCTCACGAAGTTAGTCACTAGTGAGCACGGGTGATTCAGATTACGTGGTTGTGGCGTTCGCCTACAATACCGAAGGTGCTGGGTTCGAATCCTGCGGGGTGCAGGAGTCGTGGATGTGCACTGCTGAGGAATCTCATACCAGGACAAAACGGCCGTCCAGTGCTTCTTCCAGGTTTCTAATGGTGGTTTAACATTGATCGATTCATGGTTTCAAAAATGTGTAATTCATTACTATTTCTTTTGAGTGAATAGTTAGCTGCACTGTTGAACTGATCGACTGCAATTCCTTTGGTATTGATTTTATTATTAATGGTAAAACAGATATATTAGTGTGCATATATTGGTTTAAAAGAAGCAGAAATTCATAACTTGTTCATTATGTTATTATTATGTCATGCCTGTATTAGATTTGAATAGACCATTGAATTTATTCTTCTAGAGTCATTGTCTATATATGCGTTTTGATCTTGTCAATTCTTCACCCATTACTTTGGCTGTATTTATTTAAGTGTTACGCCTGCACGTAAACACGTCAACTTGATATACTTGAACTATTACGAGTTTACCTAGTCGGAAAACGAGAGCAAGGATCGAGGATCCAGTGACACGACATACTACTCCAAAATGGAATTAGGACACTTGCCATCGCTTTACTTTCCTACATCTAATCATGATAACGTTCCGAGTAAGCAAACGCCTAACTGAAGTCCATCCAAATTCATTTGTTCATGAAAATAGGAGTTAGAACCCGGGTCACTAAGCCAGCAATCCATGCTTTCCAACTTAAATTTTGTATGCAAAAGAGACATTTGTAAGCTGTCATTCTTTCATAGTCTTGACCCTTGATTTTCGAAAATAGTAATCATATTGTTGTAAATGTCCTTTTATTGTTTTTCGTTTAGTTAAAAGTTCAATTATTCGTTATTATCAGTTATACGAGTCCAATTAGGAAACGAATACTAGGTAAGGATGGCAAATCAATAGATGAAGTAGTGAAACTTCATCAGTTGAGGTGGTTGGGACATGTGTTACGAATGCCTAACCACCGATTGCATCGACGAGCTATGTTTTGTGGCGTAGGAGTAGGTTGGAAGAAAGTTAGGGGCGGTCAAACCAAAACATGGCACAAATCCATGAAGTCTCTGACAAGTGGACTGAGTCATGTTGGTAGATGTAGACTAACTGGTTGGGGTGCGCGATACAAAAGTCACCGATGGTTAGAGACCTTGAATGACATGGCTCAAAATCGTTTGCAATGGCGCAAGTGCATCCATTCGTTGTGTTCTCTCAAATCCTAATCTTCTGGATTCTTCAACACCTCTACCTTTGTCTTTCTAACCTTATCTCATTGAATTATACTTCTTGAATAATATCTTAAACCCTAGTCTTCTTCATTACCATTAATACCTCTACTATCTTTATCACTATGGGATTTGATTTGACATTTGCGTCTCTGTGCTAATAATGTGGTATGGCAACATGAACTTATGTACATACGTACGAAGTTCTATGTTGCAACTGACTGACTTACTGACTTACTCATCTCATATTCATCAAACAGACAATCATTCTTTACAAATCTCATCTGATCTTATTATCTCTTGTCAATTCTTAATTATTAAACAATTTCTATTGAAATAATATATCATGTGAAGTAATCATTCTCCTGTTATTCGTAAGTTAACTACTGTACAGCTAGATATCATTCAAAATAAAATTGTCTTTTTGAATCTTCTTATTTGGGAACAAAAAACAAAAAAACATTTTGTTCAATTTTCAATCTTCATGTATCTTAATGAAAATATTTAAAATACTAATAAATGAATTTTAACAGAATAAATTTACTTCATCAGCCATTTTCAGTGCATAATCTGATCGTTCAATTTTATTATTGTTTGAAGCTTGTATAATAATTGATGCCCTACGACCAAGGGATTGTAAACGTTCAGCAGCAACTTTCTCCAATGTTACTCTCATTTCTGGATAATTTTCTAAAACATCGTAGAAATTTTTCTGGTCCAATGAATAAAGTGTACAATAAGTTTCTGCTTCTACACTAGCTACACGTCGTGCATTTGTTAATAAGCATATTTCTGTATTAGAAATAAAAAACAGAATGATAGGTTTTTATTAACAGTCAATCAATCAATCAGTAATTTATATATAGACCAGTTAGTTTCTAAGATAGCATCATGAATACAATGGAGATGCCTTGGAGGACGTTAACACCTTTACATATCTGGGCAGCATCATCAACAACCAAGGTGGATCTGATGCAGATGTGAGGGTGTGGATTGGCAAAGCAAGGGCTGCATTTCTACAATTGAAAAATATCTGGAACTTCAAACAACTTTCAACCAAAACCAAAATCAGCATTTTCAATACAAATATCAAGACAGTTCTACTGTATGGAGCGGAAACTTGGAGAACTACCAAATCAATCATCCAGAAGATACAAATGTTTATTAACAAAAGTCTACGCGAAGTACTTCGGATTCGTTGGCCAGACACCATCAGAGGCAACCTACTGTGGGAGAGAACAAACTAGATTACAGTGGAGGGGGAAATCAGGAAGAAGCAGTGGAAGTGGATAGGACACACACTACAAAAAGCACCTAACTGCGTCAATAGACAAGCCCTCACACAGAACTCTCAAGGCAAAAGGAAAAGAGGAAAGCCAAAGAACATACTTCGCCGAGAAATAGAGAAAGATATGAGCAGAATGAACAAACATTGGACAGAACTGGAGAGAGAAGCCCAGGACAGAGTTTTTTGGAGAAAACTGGTTGGCGGCCTATGCTCCATTGGGGTAACAGGCGTAAGTAAGTAAGTAAGTAATCATCAATACAGAGAGTCTGAAATTCTTGGTTTGAATCATTAACGGGGTTGTTGACACACACACACACACACTTTATCGACTAGTTCAATGTTAAAAAGGAAACAATTCTCTTTAGTGCCTCCATGTTTAACGTGTTTGTTTTGATGATGTAAGTTCACGATTTCAACCGCCACATGGAACTTCATACGATAACAACTTGTGGTTTTAGGAATTAGTCAATCAGAATGAAGATAACTACTAATGAACTTTGGGCGAAAAGTAATCTGTTACGCCTGCATGTAAACAAGTCAATTTGATATACTTGAACTATAATACGAGTTTACCTTAGTCGTAAACGAGAGCGAGGATCCAGGATCCGGCGACACGACATGCTACTCTAATCCGATTATCCCAACCCTCATATTGAGTAAAAATAAGAAGACTTGAATGTGAAGTAGAACATGTATTCTACAAGCATCCAGAAAGTACGAGGTCCGAATCCAGAAGAGAATCAGGATCCCAGACTAGGAATCCGAGACCGAGCCCTGGTCCTATTCGTGGTCATAAAACGATTCAGATAATGCATATATATACATTTTGGTCGAATAGGAAACAGCATCGAATTCTGTGACATTGACAGTTATGACGACCAATAGGAAGTAACATTTGAAATGACATTCAGAGTCCGGATGACCAATAAGAGACAACATTGAATTATTTGACTTTGACAGTTAAAATGACCATAATTTTGACCAATAGAAATTGGCCAATAGGATTTGATCAATAATTCTCTTAGGATATTGAATGGATATCCTTATATAATCACATTAAATGCACAATGTAATCCAGTATTATTTTGTGTCTCAAATCAAGTCTTTAAGGAATAAAATTCTTTTCTAATATTATTTAACTAGTGATCTGCCAAATAGGATGTGAGAGTATTTCTACTAAAAGAAAAAACACAAATGATAAGCCGACTGGAGGTGGAATTAGTCACTTATTTGCGATATACCAATTGTATGTCCTAACCACCTCATTAGTTGAGGTGGCACAGGTGAATCCTTTATTTGTGTTCTCTCAAATTCTAATCTTTTAAATCTCTCATCAGTTCTATCTTTCTGTTTCTGAATTGATTTCATTGAACTATACTTCTTGAATCATTTCTGCAAACTCTAATCTACTCCATAACCGCTACTACTTGTCTTCAACTCTCTTCTGCCATTGGATTCGAACTGACAACTGCATCTCTTTGTTTTGTATGGTATGGAAACCTGAACTTATGTACGTACGTACAAAGTGCTACGTTGTAATTGACTGACTGATATACCACCAATCACTGGTGCTTCAATAATTTGGAATATCTCAAAAGAAATATTGACCACATTTACCATTGGTTCTTAAGGATATTATTGAAAGAATATTCAGAAACGCTTTATTGACTAATATTGCTTGTCAATGTCTTTTCTTGACCATACTGTAGTGAACGAGAACACAGGTGAGGCAACCGGATTGTATTTAACGAAAATTACAGAGTTGTTACTCAGTAAAATGGGAAAACCATATCGTAAATCGTTAATTTGCAAAATATCTGTCCATCATCATATCGAACTGGACTGTTCCTGTTGCAAAACATCAATCCATTGTCACTATTCATGCGTTTCATACAAATTCCATTGTGTTCTTCTAACTCTTCTTTTCTTGGTCTTCCCCCATCTTCTGCTGCCAGACATTACGTTTACACTCACGTCATATACTACTTAAAAGTAGCTCACACCACATTTTAACATATTAAAACTGTGGTCAAGTTCGGAGTAGAATTATTATCACTTAATACAACGTGACCAGTGGAGTTCAGCCCTATCGGGTGCAGACAGTAACTACCAAAGACAAATCCTTAGATTGATCAGAGTTAGACATTAACACCTTTGACTGACAACCCAGTGGTCCAGAGGTTATACGTTCGCACGCAAGACCTAAGGTTCTGGCGTTCGCATCCTGTGAGTAGCAGGAATGATGGATGTTCACTACCACTGATGAGTCTCATTCTAGAACGAAACGGCCACTTCCCGGTGCTTCCAAGTCTCTAATGATGTGGTCGAACAATGATCGATCTCCATAAATCTAATTAAAAAAATCAACTGAAAGTCTAACAACGCCTAGAAAACTTTTATGAATCAATAAACAATTAAAAAAAAATGGTTTTTGATAAAAAAACTTGTTGTTTACCTCCAAAATAACAACCATCTGATAATCGTGTAGCTAGTATACCATCTTTAGTAATAATATTCACTATGCCCTCTTGAATAAAATACATTTTTGTACCATAAGTTCCTTCACGTATAATTAAATCACCGGGTTGAAATACTTCTTGTTTTAATTTTACAATAACTTCTGATACAAAATTTTGATCAGCATTAGCAAAGATTGGAACAGAAGCTACTAAGGCACGACAATTATAATTTATAATTTGCTAAATAAGGGAAAAATAAACACATGAAATTCGTATAATTCAAAATAGAAGAGAAATAAGAAATTTAGTTATATTTTGGAATAATGAAAGCTAAAAATAGGAAAAAATGTACATTGAAACGGCAACAAGCAACACTAAGCATATTGATTAATGATTTCAAATGTGTAAAAACGCAAACCTCCAAAACTATGCCCCAATATGATATAACAGTGCTCACTAGTGACTAGCTTCGTGAGGAAATTCTCGGAGTTCTAGTTGAGAAGACCTGTCGGGTGTAGGCAGTAACTACCAAAGACAAATGGGTGAGGTCGCGCAAAATCCCTAGATCAATCAGAGTTAGACATTAACACCGTTGGATGCCGGCCCAGTGGACCGATGGTAAGGCGTTCGCCTACAATGCCAAAGGTCCCGGGTTCGAATCCTGCGAGGAACAGGAGTCGTGGATGTGCACTGCTGAGGAGTCCCATACTAGGACGAAACGGCCGTCCAGTGCTTTCAGGTTCCCAATGGTGGTCTAACAATGATGATTGATTAATGACTTTGGAATAATGAAAGCTAAATATAAGGAAAATGTTCAATGAAACGGCAACAAGCAACACTAAGCATGTTTGTTATACGTAGTTAAAAAACTAACTAACTAACTAGACACTGGCTTCTGTGTAAAATTAGACAGTATATGATACTTAATTGAAGCCTACACTGTATAAAAATATTTTTAGTTTATTTTGTCGATAATAATAAGTATTTTCTTGTAAAAATGAGAATTTTTCATTTGCCTCCACATATATTCCAGTTCGCTTACATTTAATTTGGTTAAGCCCTTTCGATTAATCTATTTAACCAACCAAGTCATTTGTATTGCAACAATTTACATGTTGTACCATTCGTTCTTATTATTGTCTGGTTTGTATGATGAGCTCACATGACGCGTCCCATTTGTCATTTGATCTTGTCAACTATTCGTCGCTTTGTTCATGCTTGCCTATTTCGCTTGTTGCATGTCTGTCTTATATTGGTCTGAGCTAATTAGCCTTCTCCAAAGTGCTTCACCTGTTCATCCGCTTCCTTCGCCCATTCGTTCGTATTGTAATTCTAGGAGTTGGCTTGCTAGTCTCTCCACTTCGTTTTATTCACATTGCTTCTCCGCTTCGCTTTGTGATGTGTCCCAAATAAACTCATACATGACTTCGAACTCATCTTTTGATTTATAAGCCGTCAGACTCTATTTAGTAACGACTGTCTGGACGAGCTAATTACGAAGAGTAAGGACACGTAGAAATTGGCCACCACAAACTACTTCATATATTGTGAGTTTTATTAATAGTTATTTATAGGTACCTGATACACGTAATACCCCTTATATATACAGTTGTACATAAATAGTGGTTATTTCTGAACCATGATCGTGTAGTCAATCGATATGCACCGCATGAACAGGCCGATTCAATCCATCTCGCTTACATGACTGTCAAACTCATTATTATTATTACTATTATTAGCAATGGTGATATGCACTACAGTACCGCAATGACAATGATCTACAGAAATGTTGCCAAACAACCACCAGTAGTATCAATGAGATCGGTCACTCTGCTAACCCATTTTGTATATGCTCGTGATATGCTCGTCAATCGATATGCTTGAATGTCATTACGAGTTCACCTTAATCGGTAAACTTGGGCGATGCAATGGTACAGTGACACGATAGGTTATTTTGATTCGACTGTCCATGGTCATGCTAACTATTGTAGCAAGAAGTCTTGATAAGGAGTATAAAGTGTATTCAACAAGCTACCAGAAAATACGAAGTTCACAAGTACACAAATCGAGTTTATTTATACATGATAGAAACGTCCTTGGGAGAGCCACAAAAATAACACAACAACCAATAACAACAACCAAGGATTCTCCGAGGGGGGAAACATAATCTCAAAGTCAATTGAACAGCCAATGGGCGAAAACATAAAACTCAAAATTAGGACCTTTTCAAATGAGTTCTGAGGATGTAACGTCCTCATCAATGAACTATTAGCAATAATTTACAAATCAATGTCAACGTTCACAGCGAACCTCTAGTCTCATAGCAAACCTTCAGCTCTATCTATATAGCAGTATGGCATAGGATATCAAGAGATGCAGCCTTGCTTGATGCTAATGTGCTCAAACGCTTTTATTACCCTTTGTATCATGTCGGGTAACAAGAAAAGTCAGTTCAAATCATTTTAACTCTACCCTGTGAGTCAGAATATCTTCATATATAAGTTATGATGTCTCACAATGAAAGCCAAGTTCCCTCGGAACTCACGAGGCTGATGGTTATTCTGACAGCCAGGTCGATCATGATTTCAGGTATATGGAATGTTCGAACAATGTGGGAGATTGGAAGAGTGTTCCAAATTGTTACAGAGATGAAAAGATACAACCTGGAGGTGTATGGATTCAGTAAAACGTATTGAATGCAGGCTGGGGAACTAAGACTAACTTCAGGAAAGCTGATGTTAAATTAGGTCATGAAGAAGAAAATGTCTCACATACACAAGGATTCGCACTGATGCTGTCCAAACAAGGCACTTATAGGATCGGGACCTCATGGATCCAGGATCATCAAAGTATCCTTCAAAGCCTAGAACAGAGTAGCTTGGAGAATAATGATCGGCGGCCTATGCTCAATTGGGGGGTAAGAGGCGTAAGTAAGCAAGTGAGTAAGTAAGTAATAAATTCAACAGTCACCTAACTATTGTTACTCTGGTCTTCTCTTGTCTAACTAATCACAAATTCAATCAAATAAAACACGACATACTTGTGTAATAAATATTTTTGTAACTTTTTTTTATATACTACTGAAGTAGACAATTTCTCAAGCAAAAATAGTCACTTATTCATGATATTTGTATACTACTAACTTTGACCGATCTTAAACTACATACAGTATATCAAACTGTGCCAAACAAATGTTTGGATTTGAATGATTCCAGTCGAAAATAAACACTGACAGAAATAGAATATATATGAAATATTATACAATAAAATTGCAAACACTTACTTCTCTTAAACATTCTGATAGTTCAGCTAAAATTTCTTTCTCATTGAACATTTTACCCTTATATCGATGCTCATAATAACCGGCAATACGTCGTCTTAATGCTCGTGGATATTTTTTATAAGCCATATATTCTTCAACTTGTTTTAACTAAATTCAAAAATATATTCAAAGTCAGTAAGGTAAATTTTATCTTGATCATTAAAATATAAACAAAACATTGAATACTGAATTGGGCTGTTATGTAGTGAACGAGAACACAGGTGAGGCGACCGGATTGTGTTTAACGAAAATTTACAGAGTTGTTACTCAGTAAAATTGGAAAACCATATCGTAAACGGTTAATTTGCAAATCTTCAATCCATCATCAATCCATTGTCTGACATTTCACTATTCATGCGTTTCATACAAATCCCATTGTGTTCTTCTAACTCTTCCTTTCTTGATCTTCCCCCATCTTCTGCTGCCAGACATGACGTTTTCACTCACGTCATATACTACTTATAAGTAGCTCGCACCACAGTTATAGTCTGAAACGTTACAGAAGTTTTCTAATGAGATTAATCATATAACATGAAGGAAGACACAGACTTCGTTTTTTTCGAATTATCCTTGAAAAGTTCAATGCATCTCGGTTAATTGTCTGTTGTTGTTATTGTATGAAATATGAGTTTATGAATAACTAACTGTTCGGATTGTTATTTCCTTTCTACTTGTATGCAAAAGTTGAGTTTAAAATATAAAAAAAAACTTTTAATATTAATTTCCATTGTACTTATCCAAAATCATGAATCACTCAATGTGTTAGACCACCACTGGAAAGCTGACAGCACTGAGAGATGGACGTTTCGTCTCGGTATGGGGTATATCAGTAGAGCGCAGTCGCCTGATTCGAACACTCGACCTTCAATCCTGCACGCAAACGCCTAACCTCTGGACCACAGGATCGGCATCCGACGGTGTTAATGTCTAACTCTGATCGACCCAAGGATTTTGTACAATCTCAGCGCACTTGTACTCGGTAGTAGTTACTGCCTACACCCGATAGGGTTGAACTCCACCCGTCGTTGGTTCTCACCAGATCTCCGAGAATTTCTTCAGGAAGCTAGTAACTAGAGTGAGCACATTGTACGATTCTTCAGTTAGAGTAATAGAGATTGTTGTTTATTATTGACAATGAATGATTCATGATGTCAGTGAGAAGACTGAGGCAGGCTCAATAGATTGTATCTGGTAAATTTACACTCTTAGTCAATTAAAAACGATAACATTACATTGAACACTCCATTTGCACACCATCTTTGAGTCCTGACTTCCAACGCTCCAGCCTTCCTCCATTCCTGCTGTTGCTTCCTTTACTTCCTGTCGGTGCTCTAAATCTTTCTTGCTTTTGCTCTATTTGCTTTCCGTTTTCCTCTTCTGACTGTAAGACATCTTCTTTCACGTCCATTCTTATACTACTTATATCGTTCGTATAAGTAGCACACACCACACTCGTCCCCCCTTTAACAAGTCGCTCTCTCAGCCTTTATGATCTCCGTACAGCCGTCTTCTTTATCAGTGTTTGTGGCTCGCCCTCTTGGCGCACTTGGAACCACCTTTGGAGTTCACTGGCATTCACGCGTTTCTGTTTGTTTCCTTTCTGGATTGTAT